CTAGCTACCCTACCTATACCTATACCTAGTCACGTGCTACCCTACCTATACCTATACCCAGTCACGTGCTACCCTATCCAAACCGTTTGGGTAGGGTACCTCATGTACCCTACCTAGTTCCTACCCATAAATCACGTGACTATACCTATACCCTACCCTACCCTACCCATCCGCCAGCCTACCTTAAAGTGTAGCTGCATACCCTACTAGTAGTACCTCTACCTAAAATACTATAGCAATCTAAGACACTAAGTAATATACACAAGTTTAGGTCTTAATATATGCTTATAAGCAACTCCTTCTAATAATTACTAAGTATAGTATAAGAGGGGTTCTTAAAGCTTATAAAAGGGGCTTAGGAGATACTATATAAAAATATCCTTATTAAGGCCTACATGCAAGAGCTTAAAGAGCAATTAGTAGTAATAACTAAGAGAAAATTGCGTAAGAGAAAGTAGATTAGTTTAGTGGCACACTTAAGTATAGCCTAGCAGCATCGCAGGTAGCTGCTAAGGCGTGTGTAGCAGCTTAGCTATCTAAGAAGACTTAGGGTAGAGGTAGTTAACTAGGAGCTTAGTTAACTGTTTAGCGCTGTAGGAACTACAGTAAGACTAGACACAACACACAAACATGCTAGGAGGGTATAGAAATATCTTCTAAATCTAATATAAGCACGCAGTATGCTAGGTTACTATTTAATAGCAAGTAGTTATAGTTATAGGAACTTTTGTTAGTTATGCTAAGAGAAAATGGCTAGTTTAGTGATATAGCTGGCTTAGTGATAATCTATATTATGCTAGGTTACTATTTAATAGTAAGTAACATAGATTATCACTAAGCTAGCTATGTCACTAAACTAGCCATTTTCTTTTAGCATAACTAACAAAAGTTCCTATAACCTGTTTTATCAGTGAGCGCCCCACCTCAGTGAGCGCCCCACGAACACCAGCGAGGCGTACGCGCAGCGACGTAGCTTAGCACCACAACACAAATTTTGTACTCTTACAACAGTATAGTATTATTTAGAAGTGTTGCTGTTATTTATATCCTTAATTTCTACCTTGCAGGTGCAAGAGTTGTGCCTAATCTCACTACAACAGCTGCAGCGTTGCCCTGCGCGCACCCTCTTCGCTAGCTCCTTACCCTCCTTACATCTACCACCCTCCCTTTTAGTAATTAAGTCTAATACCTTGCTAACTATTAATATCTCCTCTGCCTGTACGTAGCATCTCTTACAACTTTTACACTTTATTACTGCTTTAGTAGCAGTATTAAGGCGCACTATCTCTGCGCGCATTAACACTATCTTATAAGCTATCTACTGCGTGCCTTTTATTAGCTACCACACCTGCTTATTAAGTAAACTTGCTAGAGACCCTTAATAGATTTTTATCCTATTTTAAACTAGTGTTAATTACGCCTCTATTTCTTTAGCATTGCGTGGTGTTTTTGCCTCCTAAGCAGCATTAACTTGCTGTGGTGGAGTTTGCGTACGCAGCTGCACATCCAGCTTTAATAACACAGCCTGTAGATTATGTGGAGACAATCTAGCGCCTTAAAACCCTACGCAAGCATTCTCTCTTGTAAACGCCTTCTTAAAAGCTACTTTAAAGGCTAGTAAGAAGGTCTGTTTGCTAATATAGTTAATGTAATTATGTGCTAAGGCTAAGATCTAATTACTATACACGCACTTTAATAGCAAGAAACAGGCAACATTAAGTAGCTGCAGGAGGTGTAACAAGTGTAGAGGCATACAGAGGGCAATAATCTTCTTCTCCTTGCAGCAGTCCTAGAAATCTATTAAGCAATAGCTCTTATAGCCATTAATAATTAGCAGCCTATACGCTCCTACAGGCCTCACATGCGTATTAAAGTAATTAAGCTAGGCAAGCGCTAGATTGTTGTTTATCTAGCCTGTTAGGCTTACTTAAATAACCTAATTACGTAGGAGGTCCTTAGTAAACTAGTTAGAGATAAGAACCTTACTAGCAAAGATAAGGAAGGGTAGGATAATACACCCTATTGCGCTAACACCCTATATTAACATAGTCTACTTATAATTACTAGGCTAAAGCTTCTTTGCTTTCCTAGGTTTCTCTATGCCTGTTATAACAAGTTATAAAGATATCTTGCCTATTAGGAAGCTAGACTTGTTAAAGTTATATATGTTATTG